CTGGAGCGTTCCACCACAGTGTTATGGCCATCCCCCCGCCTCCACCGAGTGCTCACCTCTGGTCTCCAGCTGGGGCTGGCTCTGCTTGACCTTCTGCGGAGCCTGCTGACTCAGAGGGGGGCACCCCTGCCTCTTCAGTCGTTGGCCTGCTCCCTTGCTCACCGCCTCCCACGCTGAGGCCCTCTCCCGGTGTCTCCTCCAACATGCCAGACACCGGGCTGCTTGTGTCCATGGGGGAGCCCTCCAGCTGGCTGCCCACTGTCACCAGGGTGTCCGAAGCTTCCACTCTCTCTGGAGACTGGGAGGCTGAGGGAGGTGAAGGGTGTGGGAGGAGGAAAGAGGGAGGATGAGTGGGGAAGACGGGTTTGGGAAGAGACAATCGGGGTGAGGGAGCCAGGGGTTTGAGCAGGGAGAGGGGTAAAAGAAAAGTAGATTCAACACAAGGCATCCAACACTACATCAAAAAAAAAGTGTTAAGTCTACAAATAGCTATCCCATCTTTGGAATGGAACGTCCATTGAGAAAAACTTTAGACCATATTGTCAAGGCCAACTCTTTATACATCTTGATGGAAACACCAGGCACTAGAATGACATCTGCAGGGCAGATTCCCTTGAGCAGATTAAACCTTCCACAGGGCAGCTCCCTGAGTATTTGGCCTGGAGCTCCAACACACCCAGATGAGTGAACGTACGGAACTTCCCGAGTTTGATCCCTGTGCAGGACTGATCGATGGCGAATGCTGGGCTCTTTGATCCTAGTTGGAATTTACTGCCCTCGGAAGATCGCAGGAGATGGACAGCAGGTGGGAAAGGACAGCCGAGTCTCTGGGATCAGCTGCCACCCCACTGGATGACAGAGCAGCCTCGATGGGCTGAGCGGCCTACTCCTAACTCCTGTTTCATGATCCCAGGGCTTTGGGTTCTCCGGCTGTTGACCGCCACGCCACTGGTGAGAACATACGAGAGCCCTGACATGAATGACCGGCACAACTGAAAGGCCGAGCCTGGGGCTGCAACAACTCAATGCCAACACGCGTGCCTGTAGGCTCCAGGGCTCCCACTGTTTGATTCCTGCAAGGCGCGATGCAGAGACAGAGTGCGTGTGATGGCGTTGCGGGGCCCACCTGTCGTCGGTGCTGGCGACATTTCCATCTGCAGGGCTTCGGCCTCCCCGCTCGGTCTGTCAGGCACCGTCTCGATGGGCATCAGGGACTGTGCCACCACCTCCTCGGCAGAGGCCAGCTGCAGTGACGAGGCCTGGACTCCTGGCTGGAGTGGGGCCAGAGGTTGCGGTTGTGCCTCCTGAATGCCCAGGGGCTGGCTCTCCGCAGCAGGGGCACCCTCCATCGAAGCTGATGCTGGGAGCAGGTTCTCCAGCCGTGGTGTATCCAACCCAGTGGAACCGACGACAGGCTGCTCAGAGTCTGGAAGGAAGGATTTTGTAAAAAATAAAAAATAATTATTTCATCATAGATCATAAAATCTCTTCAGTGTGGGAGCAGGCCATTCAGTCCACACTGACACTCCAAAGGGCATTCCACCCAGACCCATCCCTACATTTCCCTTGGCTAATTCTACCAGCCTGAATACCCCTGGGCACTACAGGACAATTTAGCACGGCCACTCCCACCCTAACCCGCACATCCCTGGGCACTACGGGACAATTTAGCACGGCCAATCCACCCTAACCTGCACATCTTTGGACTGTGGGAGGAAACCAGAGCACCCAGAGAAAACCTACACCGACACAGGGGAGAATGTGCAAACTCCACACAGACAGCTTGAGGGTGGAATTGAACCCTGGTACCATGAGGCAGCAGTGCTGACTTTGTTCAAAACAAAATCTGCAATTTAAAAATGCTGGACTGTGATGAACAGGACAATCGAATGTGCAAATCAGGAGGAGTAGGTCTTTTAGCCCTTTGAGACTGCTCCCCCATTCAATGAGATCATGGCTAATCTGAACGCAACCTTCAAATCCTCATTCCCGACTGCACCAACATCTTTCCCAGGAGTGTGTTCCAAAATTTCAGTCAGGGCACCTCTGAAGCAGCAGTTATTTTAACAGGTGAGCCCTGACTTTTCACACTGTGACCCATTGTTCGAGTTTCTCGCGCAAGTCAGAGTGTCATATGGGATGGGGGTCCGTGCCTGTGGCTCCACCACATGGGGATGGGGGTGGGGGGGAGGGGGTCCCGTGCCTGCAGTATACCCCCCACCCCAACACACACCACGGACTGATCCGGGCCTCTTCCTGTGTGGAGAGATTTGAGGCTATGACTACAACGCAAACGGGGGATTTGGGAAAGGTTAGATTTGGAAGTATTCTGGTTAGACTTGGGGGCACAGTGCTGCTCAAGCCTGTTTACACAGATTTAGGGTTGTGGATGGCTGGTGATGGAGCAGTAGCCCCATCTCTCTCTCTCTCACCTGCTAACTGGCCCTGAGTCCTCATGGCTTCCAGCGCTGCTTCAGCGATCGAGGCGGCCATGTTGCTGATGGCTTCATTTGTGGCAGTCAAGGCACTGGAGCTCACACCTGAGAGCGAGGGCACAACAGAAAGAGAGATGTTAGGATCACTTCCATCACATCTCGGGAAGGGGTGCGTGGGACGATCAGGAAGGGCTTTCACAGGGAACACCAATGAACCAAATCAGCCCCAAAGAGCATTGAAGGGAAAAGCTGTCAGGATGACTGATGATTGTAGAGGGACAATGTGAAGTGAATACATATTCACTTACAGAAACAAACAGGTGTCCTGCTTTGTGCATTAGACAAGTCACAGCCATCTATTAATTGGCAAATGCTCCCAATTCCACTATTTCAATCTAACCCCATGCTGCTGTCCTGGGAATGTTTGATGGGGACAATGTAAAGAGAGTTTAAAATAGTAGAGAGAGCTTTACTCTGTATCTGACCCCGTGCTGTCCCTGTTCTGGGAGTGACAGTGTAGAGGAAGCTTTACTCTGTATCTAACCCCGTGCTGTCCCTGTCCTGGGAGTGTTTGATTGGAGAGGGGAGCTGGGGGCGGCTGCAGACAATGTAGAGGAAGCTTTACTCTGTATTAACCCAGTGCTCTCCCTGTCCCTGTTTGATGGGGGACGGTGTAGTGGAAGCTTTACCTCATCTAACCCCATGACACAGCTGTCCTGCAACACAGTCTGATGGGCCCCTGTAAATGGAGCTTTACTCCATATCTAATGTGTATTATAGTTGTTCCTTCTAACAGCTCATTGCCAGCCCTTCACGTTAATGACCACTGAAAAGAACCAGGAACCAGCGAAGTGTGGAGAGTCTTTTTTGAACCTTTGCATATGCAGCTCTGAACCTGCACCCATACCCTCACAACACCAAGACCTACCTTCCACCCACTGATCTCCCCTGTTGGTTGCTTGACTGCTTAGCGAGGAAGGCAGTAGGTTGTATAGTTATCTCCACACAGGGCAAAACAAAGAACAAACAAACAAAGGGTGGGGGTGGGAGGGGGGTCAGAATCACTGCCCTACAACTATACAACCTACTACCTCAGCGTGCCAAAGCAAACTGTGCCAGTCACTCCTCTTCCAGTGATAACAAGTTAAACCCGCACAGACATGCACGTTCTAAAAGGTGTATCAGCCCGAGACTGTAACAGAAGACAGACTTTCACCTTACTTCACACGCTTCCTTCCTCAGGAAGTCCCAAACTGTTTGAACAAATACTGCTTGAAGCACGTTACTAAGAACTGACAGCCCAGAAACAAGTACACTCACTCATCAGTACCAAGCCTATATACGCTTCACACAAACCACCTCCCAACCCCCACAGCACCCCAAATATCCTTCCAACCTTTCGTTCCTCAATTGTTTATTCAGCTCCCCCTCGAGTGCATCTACAATAGCTACTCCGTGGGAGCAAGTTCCAAATGCTCATGGGTGTCTGGGTGCAGACACCTCTCCTGAATTCCCAATGGGTTTGCTGGTGACCTCCTCATATTTCTGGTTCCTCACCTCCAGTGATACCCCGCCCCCCGCCGTGGGAGGAACATTCCCACACCCAAACTGCTGAACTCCTTCAGCATTTTAAAATGCTGCTCCACCCACCTCCAGCCTGCTCGCTCCTCCCCGGTGACTCCTCCACTCTGTAACCACCGTACAACATTGAGGACAGACAGCCGCCCAGGGGCAGCCAGCAATGTGACGAGCCGAAAGTCTGCTTGCGATGTTTGTCAGGGCCAAGGGGGGGAGGGAGAAACATAGGCCGAGACAAAGTGAAAGGAGAGACAACCCTTTCTGCTCCCCTTCCACCAGTGGCTGCAGAAACTTCGACACCTAAACGAGAGGGTAGCCTGAGCCTTGGTTCAACGGCTCATGGGAAAGATGGCACCTCAATACTCTGTGACCAGCTGCAGCAGACTTGTATTGCACCACATGCAGGTGAGCCCACACCAACAGCTGTGACACCTTCTTCAAGAAACTGTTTCTACGCATGGAATCTCGCCACCGGTGCACGGGATGATCACGCAAGTCTTGCAGTCCCAGGAGGTCACTTTTGCCACCGCAGGAAAGACAGTAGATTGTATAGTTAACTCCAAGATCGGGTATGACCCTAAAACTATACAACCTACTACCTCATCCCAAAGGGCACCATTCCATCTCGAGGCAGGCAGGACGCGGTGCTTAAAACTGAAGGGTGAACACGTTAGTGCAAGGAAAACAGCCAGCTGAGAACGGTCAAGCTTAGAAAGCAGCAAGGGTGTGTAGGGAACAGGCAGAGGTACAGAGTTTCAGGCATATTTCCGAGTGCATGATGCTCTTAAACTGTGCCCTGAAGAGCAGTGCACCCCCCGCACTGCAGCTTGCACCCAGAAAACATGAACGGCACTGCTGCCTGATTATGAGACAGCATACAGGCATAGTCTGGCATTAAAGTGAGCTTTACTCCATATCTAACTCTGTGACGTACCTCTCCTGGGAGGGCTCAATGGGGACAGTGTAGAGGTATCTTTACTTTCAGTTTAAAACAGCAGAGAGCGCTTTACTCCATACCGAATCCTGTGCTGTCCCTGTTGATGGGGAACCGTGTAGAGGGAGCTTTACTCTAACTGCCCGTGCTGTCCCTGTCCTGGCAGTGTTTGATGGGTGGGGACGGTGTAGAGGGAGCATTACTCTGTACCTAACCTTGTGCTGTCCCTGGAAGTGTTCGACGGGGGACCGTGTAGAGGGAGCTTTACTCTATCTAACCCCCATGCTGTCCCTGTCCTGGCAGTGTTGGATGGGGATGGGGACAGTGTAGAGGGAGCTTTACTCTGTATTTAACCACCCATGCTGTCCCTGATAGGATCATGTTAAAGCCACCTTAGGAAACAGATTGAACGGTTTGCGGGGAAAGAAGGTAGTGCTTTAAAAAGCAAGAAGCCGCCGTCTTTCAGGTCCCAAGCCTTGTGGCAGCACATGCTCTCCGAGCTCCTTGCACCGTCGCAGATTACACCCAAGTGCCACCAGATTGGATAGGAGTTGCAGCTGAGCAGGGGAACAAACCTGTTTGACTCTTGTCACCTTGAACAGACGAGTTGGCAGCTCTGGTGGAGCCCACAGCCTGCTGCACAAACAGCAATAACAGAAATAAAGTAACAAAATCAACAAGAAGCAGAATCTTTGCCACAGGACCAGAAAGAACAAACTCCCTGCAGTCAACCAATGCTCGTTTGTTGCTCGATTACAATTCCTCGGATTTCAAGGTAGACATGCCCTCAACAGAACTCAACTTGTCAGGAACAGAGGCTAGTCGGTCCCTCAAACCTGTTCTGTATTTCAATTATAGTTTTTTTTAAAAAAAGATAATGTGACACACGTCTGGAACAGGTGAGACTTTAAACCGGAGCCTTCTGGCCCTGAGGTAGGGACACTACCACTGTGCCACAGGAGCCTGTGCAGTACCGTCATATAGCAGCTAATTTGCAAAACCAAGGCAGGTTGACATGCAATGTTTCTGTCCCCAAGGAACACCCAAAGTTTTTAAAACTTTCAATTAACCTGCTGCCTCAAAAGCATGTGCCCCAAATCTCTGCTCCCTCCCCATGTCTCCGAGCCCCAACCACCCTCCCACATGGCAATTCCCCAAGGAAACCTACCCCATTCCTGACGGTTCAAACCAAAACAAGGCAATCTCAACAAGGCACAGAATACAGTCCCACACACCCCGGAGGAACCAGCTCTCCTTCACCCTCACTCACCGACGCGTTCTGCTCCTTGTTCTCCTTCTCTTCCTTTGCCTTCTCCTCTCTCCTGGCTTCTTCCTCTGCCAGCTGCTTCCTACGCTTCTCTCTCCGCTCCTCCAGCTCCTCGTCGCGCAGTGACTCCAGGTGCTGGATGACGGGAAGCTTGACCACTTCGCCAGGGAAGAGGATTCCAGAGTTAGCACTCCAAAAAGTGACGCAGCCCCTCTCCCAACCCCCTGAGGAGGGAGGTCACTGCTCTCTGTCCCATCCCCACCCCTCCATTAGGGCCTTCCTTGCTTCACATCCACTCCCTGGGTTGAGGAGCAGCTGAACAAACCGCCCTTGGGCTGAGCAGACTCTTCCTTGCAGGAGGCCCACCCTAGACCTGATACCACAGTCCAACCTGGAACCCCAACACCATTTGTTTTAAAATAAAACCAATCTCTGCAGAGACTTGTCTTTTTGCATTGTGAGAGTGTGTCAGCTAAGGAGAGAACATAGCTTTAATTCTGGAATTTTGTTTATGATAAACTAACTAGTTGGAAGTTATTTTTATTCTGAATGGTAATACTGAAGAGAAGTATACAGCCACAGAGTCATACAGCACAGATACACACCCTTTGGGTCCAACTCATACGTGCCAACAGAGTTTTCCAAATTAATCCAGTCCCACTTGCCTGCATTTGGCCCATATCCCTCTAAATCCTTCCTCTTCATGTATCTATCCAAATGTCTTTTAAATGTAACTGTACTGCATCCACCACCTCTCTGGCAGTCCACTCCATTTATGCACCACCGATTGTGTGGAAAAAGTTACCCCATTGGTCCTTTTTAAATCTTTCCCTCTCACCTTAAAAATATGCCCCCTTGTTCTGACCTCTCCCACCTTACGGAAAAGACTCTTGGCTATTCATCTTGTGTATGCCCCTCACGATTTTATAAATCCCTATAAGGTCACCCCTCAACCTCTTCTCACTAGAGCGTAGAAGTCCCAGTCTATGCCTAAAACTCAAACCCTCCAGCTCTGGCAACCTCCTGGTAAATCATAGAATCCCTACACAGAGTGGAAACAGACCCTTCAGCCCAACTAATCCACACTGACGCTTCAAAGAGTATCCGACCCAGACCCACTTCCCCTACCTTTTCCCTGTGATCCTGCACTTCCCGTGGCTAATACACCTAATGTACAGATCCCTGGGCACTACGGGACAATTTAGCACCGCCAATCCACCCTAACCCGCACATCCCTTGGGCACTACAGGGCAATTTAGCACGGTCAATCCACCCTAACCTGCACATCCCCGGGCACTACAGGACAATTTAGCACGGCCAATCCACCCTAACCTGCACATCCCCGGGCACTACGGGACAATTTAACATGTCCAATCCACCCTGACCTGCACAGCTTTGGACTATGGGAGGAAACCGGAGCACCGAGTGGAACACACAGACACGGGGAGAACGTGCAGACTCCATACAGTCGCCCAGGTCGACACCGATGGCATGACTGGTGGAATGGGGGGCTTGAGTATCTGCACGCTGCCCCCCCATCATAGTAGTTTGTGCTCAAGCTGAGACAGACCCTGGTCAGTGGGTCAGTTAGGAGAGTGTGGCTTGTGAACACAGAGTGACAACACAGAGCAGGAGCACCTGGGGTTAGGGTTAGCAGCTCTTAGCCAGCTTCACTGCAGAGCACAGAAACATCCCTAGGGGCCAGCAACAGAGAAGGAGACGGATGATGCCTGGGCCCCAACGGAGACACACTGGGTTACTGGATAGCTCCGAGCTCAGACAGGGGGCATGGGGGTCAGGATTCCAACGTGACTGCAAGTTTCAGATGCCACAGAAAGAAACATTCTGCCTACGTCGGCCTTAGAAAGATCCTCACCTGCCACACAGTCATGCATACTTTCTGCATCCAGCACTTTACATTCCTCAGTCCAGCGAGTGAGTGCAGTTGGGATGCTAGACAGGGTACCTGCAGAAAGAAAGAGAATATTACAACTGCTGTGGGACAGAAGCCCAATGAGCTACACTGCCAAAGCAAGGGGAGAACCCCAACATCAGATGCAGCGTTCAATCACCTGCAAACATTCAGATGCAGCATTACACCACAGGACAGGTGCCTGTCTTTTTTTCTCTGCAGGTCGCAGGTGAGAAATGATGTGATTAAGCACAACAGGGGTGGTCAGACACCCACTCCCACACTTTCTGCCTGCACCACCATATCAGTTCCTCTCCAGCACTCTGCCGAGCAGACCTCCAGTGGTCGGAAATCTGCGAAACGCTCCGAACTCTCTGGTACATGTCAGACTGGCTCAGAGGCGGCTTTGGGCTCAAGCTCCATTTCAAAATTGGAGCCCACAGTGTTGAGATAACAGGTTGGCCATCCAGAACACAAGAAACAGGAACAGGAGGCAGTTATGTGAGCACCTCCCAGGATCTTATGACTATCGGCATGGCCTTCACTCCATTTTTTTGCCTGCTCCCTTCAACGCCATTAATCATTCCCCTAATCAAACTTTAATTTGGCCTTGAATACATTCAGTTACTTGCCCCCTCCCACTTCTCTGAGCATGGGGAGCCTGTGTGGAATAATCTCCCCCAGAGAGAAGACTTGCCTCCTCATCTGTCCCTTCATTCTGAAACTATGCCTCCTCATTCTACAGCCACACTGTGTAGGACTGACAGACCGCTGTACCAACTGCCCCCTTCAGCAACGGCAAAGCACACTTCCGTACACCTGCCCCTACACCTCCCCCCCTCACCCCCATCCCAGGCCCCAAGAAAACTTTCCACATCAAGCAGATGTTCACCTGCACATCTGCTAATGTGGTATACTGCATCCGCTGTGGCCTCCTCTACATCGGGGAAACCAAGTGGAGGCTTGGGGACTGCTTTGCGGAACACCTACGCTCGGTTCGCACTAAACAACTGCACTTCACAGTCGCGAACTATTTCAACTCCCCCTCCCATTCCACAGACGATATGTCCATCCTGGGCCTCCTCCAGTGCCACAACGATGCTACCTGAAGGTTGCAGGAACAGCAACTCAAATTCCGCTTGGGAACCCTGCAGCCCAATGGTATCAATGTGGACTTCACAAGCTTCAAAATCTCCGCTCCCCCTACCGCATCCCTAACCTGTCCTTCCTCCCAGCTAAAGCCCCAGCTCCATCTCCTACCTACTAACCTCATCCCGCCCCCTTGACTTGTCCGTCCTCCCTGGACTGACCTATCTCCTCCCTACCGGCTCCATCCCCGGCCTCTTTGACCTGTCTGTCTCCTCTCCACCTATCTTCTCCTCTATCCATCTTCTATCCGCCTCCCCCTCTCTCCCTATTTATTTCAGAACCCCCTCCCCCTCCCCCATTTCTGAAGAAGGGTCTAAGCCCAAAACGTCAGCCTTCCTGCTCGGCCTGCTGTGTTCATCCAGCTCTTCACCTTGTTATCTCAGATTCTCCAGCATCTGCAGTTCCTGCTATCTCTGAAACATTTCCCCATTGCCTGGATGAGAACAGCTCAATTACACTCGTGAAGATCAGTACCAGGCTGGATAAAACAACCCTGCTCGATCAGCGCCACATTGAACACAACATTCAATCCCTCCAACAGTGGTGCACAATGGTAGCTGTGCGCGTGCATGTCGTGTCTACGAGATACAGTCCCACCTCCTCTATCCCAAGAAGGACAAGGGCAGCAGATGAACAGGGAACACCATTGCCCGCAAGTTCCACTCTGAGCACCCCACCACATGAACACACGCACACCTGTGTACGTACAGAAACAACCCGAACGCGGAATGATGTTGGCAGACGTGCCAAAATCCTGGAACTCCCTCCTTCCCTAATGGCATTGTAGGTGACCCTACACCACACAGACTGCAAGGGGAGACTCAGCAGCATGTTCTCAAGGGGGCAATTAGGGTCGATTAATAGGTGGTGGCTTGGCCAGTGAAACCCATCAAACGATACAGCAGAAACAGACCAGCATTTAAAAACCCTGTCCCCTTTTGCCAGCCTAGCAGTTACTGGCCCAGAATCGGGTCACTGCTGTTTTATTGCCACCTTGCCGTTTGCACCACAAATGGGTTACCCCTGGGGCTCACTGCCCTGTTCCCTCCCTTCACCACCAACAACACCCCTCCCGTACCCCAAGCAAGACCCCAGAAGAGGACTGGTTGCCTTACCCGCTTGGCTGGTGGTAGCCGTCTGGTCATGGAAGAAGTCGTCTAGGAGATCGTCGTCTGACCGGGCGATGATGTGCACGTCATCGTTACCAACCAGGAGCCGGGCGCGGCCGCGGTTCTGCAGTGGTAGGCTGCTGCTCAGCTGGAGGATGTCTGCAGCAGCTGAGGGCCCCAGCAACCTACAGGGTGGTATGGGCAGGGGCGGAGGTTAGAATAGCCATTAAATGCAGCCAGTGTGGCACTGACATGCCGACAGCACCCCCTCCCTCGGCGCAGACTTCCAACAAGTACCTACCCCCGCCCCAAACCCCGACAGCACCCCCTCCCTCGGCGCAGACTTCCAACAAGCACCCCCTCCAAACCCTGACAGCACCCCCTCCCTCGGCGCAGACTTCCAACAAGCACCACACCAACCCACCCCCCCAAACCCTGACAGCATCCACTCCTTCCCGCACAAAGGCACCCACTCCTCAGTGCAGACTCCTTGACATCACCCCGACCCCTCCACCCGACAGCACCACCTCCGTTAGCGCTGACTCCCTGATGCCCCCTCCATCAGCACAGGCTCGCCCCGCACCACCCCACCGAATACGCCCCTTCCCTTGGTGCTGCCCCCCCCCCCCCCCCCCCCCCACCAGCTGTACCCACCACCTGACGGCACCAACTCCCCTTGAAGGACCCCCCAACCCCCCCACTCAGTGCTGACCCACCCACCATCCTCTTGTTCTTTTACCTTTGCAGGATAAGTGGAGGGTTCGGCTGCCTGTTACCAGGGTAGTGCACATGGATGGTGTGGCCCGTGTTGGCAGCAAATGGCCGGATTGCCCGCTGACTGCGCCCTATGCCCTGCGTGAGCCTGGTGGTGGAGGATCCTGTGCCCAGCGTCAGCGCGCTGTGATCTGCATGCCGAACCATGAGTGGGTGCGTGGCTGGAATGTTACCTGGGGCGGGGGGTATATCCGCTGGGGAAAAGTGGTGAAACATTAGAAAGGGATTGGACATTCGCATTAGCATCTTCACAACAAACGTGCTAAAATCGGGCCGATTGACAGACGGAGACACAGCATTTCAAAGTCTAACTCTAAACATTTGTTGCAATCTGAATGTGCAACAAATTGCTGTTGGAAGAGACAGTACCACGCAGCAGGCCTGTAATATTCGAGCACACTGCTGGAGTGGTTTTATTTTGTGTGATTTGCAAGAAAATCATTCCTGCTGTGCCTAAGGGTTTTGGTGGAAGTGGGTAGAGCAAACTGAGGAGGGTGTGTGTGTGTTGGCTAAATAGCACATATCCATTACCTACACAGTGAAGCTCCTTCTTCATTATATCCAAACATTCACAGCCAAACACTCCCTGGACAGGGACAGCACGGGGTTAGGTAAGGAGTAAAGCTCTCTCTACACTCTCCCAGCATGGGATTACTATTTCTGCCTAGTTAAGAACGTTTCCACATCCTTGCAGCTTGACAGAGAGAGATATTGACAACTTACTACCAACCATCTGTGAGGAATTTGGGTAATTTTGTTCCGCCAAATCCTCGTACTCTACCCAATCACTCGGAAGCACATTGTCAATCCAGCAGCGTGGGATTTAAACCGGTGTCTAAGAGGTGAATGGATAACTTTCTAACTGACACCACCCTGTTAACCCTTGCCCTGACTGCTCTCCTGGAAATGGAAAGCCAGCTTCTGAATGGAGCTGCCAGCAATGGCTTCACACTGTGTCGTGACTGGGACATACAGCACACGCAGGATTGGATACAGACCCCCGCGGCCCCTTTGTGGAGCATCTCCAGACATCTGCCTCCTACACTTGTCGTGTTTCCTCTGAATGAGGCACAAACCCAGGGTGCAATCTGCTCCGGCACCTCTGTATTTCACACCCAAAGTCAGCCAAGGTTTTGCACCGAGCATCCTCAACACCCGCATGGGTCACAGAAGTCAAAAAATAAAAATTGGCCTGGGAGCAGTTTGGAAGTAAAAGTCAAAAAATAAAGGCCAGAACGTAAAAGCCGGGGGAGCCAAGGGGACAGGTATTTGCCAAGGCAGCAGGCTCTGAAACCAACGGGCAGGGAGACGAGTGCTCAGTCCTGTGAAACACTTTGTAAGGCCGATGCAAGTCCGAGAGGCCCTCCCTCGAATGCTCCGCAACGTCACCATGTCCAAGAGAAAACAGACCAGCCCAGAGTCAAAAGGCCAGGCATGCTTTTAAACACGCATCAACACTTAGCGAGAGTGAATTTTCCAAGCCCAAGGGGTCTTGTCCAACTGCACGCAATAAACTGCAGGCATTCCTGCGCTCCCTGAGCCCTCTCTGCCTCGTTTCACTGGGCTCAGGGTCTTGCTAATACTTGAAGAGTGGGGAGGCCCACTGAGATCTGTGGCTGAATCAGTTACGTCAGAGGCTTGGACTAATGCGCGCACAAAGCTCCAACAGCCAAACAAAACATCCACCCAGAACCTTCTGGGTGGCTGGAATGCTGATGCCTTTTTAAAAACTTCCACTTAGCTATAGTCCCTCTGAACTGTGATGGATGCATCTTGGAATTTTCTCATTTTTTATTTAAAGAAGCTTGGACAAGGCCCCTTAGCAGCAGCGACTTTCTTTTCTTAAAGCCAGAGTGGCCCCTTCACCTGGAAATGTGTCCTGACAGTGAAATTTCCGTCACTCGCACCTCTAATACGCAGTGTTCTAAAGTAAAGCTATGCATGGTTTGGGGTTCGGGGTTGGGATTGGTGGCGGGGGGGGGGGCACGGAAATTGGACTCTCCAAGTGTCCAGACTTAACATTTCATAATTGTACTGGGTAGTCACGGGACAGGATCGATTTTCCAAAAGCCTCACGTTTATGAATATCACGGGCGCTGGGGGCGGGCACGCTGCCGATGCTGAGACGGTTATTTAGGTCATCGGGCCTCTTTCCCCCCCCAACTCCCGTTCTCAGACATCGACGGCAGTCAGACAGACATTCTCTGTTCTGCAGAAGTGGAAGATGGCAAAAATAAGGGGAGTAGGGCAGATGCAGGACGGGAAGTAAAACACACAGAGGGCAGATAGAAATGTAGTGAAACCCAAGATATCAGAGGCAGAGCAGAAGAGAGCTGAGAGCAAGTAAGTTCGTTTTCAGTTTGACTGGAATGGATGGTAAGTGTTTGAAAATACAGCCCCCCCCACGGTGCCTAATTGATTTCATAAAACTATTTAGAAGATTGGAATAAAAAGGGTATAGCAACATATTGGATCCAGACTGGGACTTGTTCCACACAAAGTGGAAGCAAATAAATTGTTAAAAAGGTATCGGGAGGAGACTGGCATCTCTCCACGTTAGAATATTGCGGAGAGAATGACTTCTCCCATACAACAATCAATTAATGGTAGACTTAAGTACCAAAAGCACACCAAGTTAATTTTGACAGATCTCTCTCCAAACATTTCAATCGGTTTAACTTGTGCTTGTTATCAAACTGGCACTAATTCACAATGCTCTTGACTGACCCCTGTTTTAATAATGAGATGATCCCACAACAGTGAGAAATCGTCATTGCACAGACGAGACACACAGAAACAGTCATGGTTCCGTACTCAGAGCTGTTTACCATGCTGCGCCCCAGGGAACAGCAGCTGTCAGAGAGCGCCATCCACGAGGCTGTTGGGCAGATTCACAAGAACTGCCCCTCACCTGCGTCTCAAAAGGCCAAAGCCTAACTTTAAGATGCTGCCCCCAAGTTCTGTACTCACCCAGACTGATCTTGCAATCAGTGGCACTCAGTGCCCCCTGAGGCCTGCCTGCCTGGCAGCGAAGTCTTCCATATTACCAGAAACTGAACCCACGGGCTCCCTCCCACCAGACCTGGTGCAAGTGCAAGGCTGGGAATCCTGCAGCAAGCAATTCAACTCTTCATCACCTGCCTTCCAAAACAACACGATGCTTGCATGCCACCTGCAATGGCAGACAGAGGTGGGCAACTAACATCTGCATCCTGTGAAATAATTTTTTTTTTAAAAAAAAAGCAACACATCGAGGGATTGCCAGTTTGAAAACAATCGGTTTGTCAAGATGTGGGGGTGGTAACTCTCAAAAGAAATTCAGGTCACCACCAGGCCACTCATCCAGCCTCATTATGGCTGCACAACTGGCCAACATGCTATAGATTCCATCAAAACCTCAACTGCTGGCAAAGGCTCTAGAGAAAGACGTGGCCTGCTGTCGACAGAATGAGACAGTGGTCAAAGGAAACCCATCTTAAAATCAGAAATCAGACTGTTCTCTCATTCAAGAGATAACTAGCAGTGCTTTCACCCGAGTGCTACCACAGCTCAGGCGAGGGGAGAAGGGGAACCCTTCACGGTAACCGTGGCTGGTGCAGGAAACTGAAGCCATGCTGCGCTGGTGTTACACAAACCAGCTTTCCAGTCTACTGAACGCAGTCTTACCTACCCCACAGGGCAGGACAGCAACATTCGGGCGAGCCTCAGGCAGCTTCTGACATTGCTGTTTTATAATGGCAGTCAACGTTGCCTGACTGACAGGAAGGAAGAGTCACAGAAGTCGGTGCATTGAGTATACAGGTTGGGAGGTCACGCTGTGACTGTACAGGACATTGGTTAGGGTCACTTTTGGAATACTGCATTCAATTCTGGTCCCCCTGCTTTAGGAAAGATGTTGTGAAACTTGAAAGAGTTCAATAAATATTTACAAGGATATTGGAGAGTTTGAGCCATAGGGAGAGGCTGGATAGGCTGGGGCTATTTTCCCTGGAGCGTCGGAGGCTGAGGGGTGACCTTATGGAGGTTTATAAAATCATGAGGGGCTTGGATAGGGTGAATAGCCAAGGTCTTTTCTCCAGGGTAGGGGAATCCAAAACTAGAGGGACATAGGTTTAAGGTGAGAGGGGAAAGATTTAAAAGGGACCTAAGGGACAACTTTTTCACGTAGAGGGTGGTGTGTGTATGGAACGAGCTGCCAGAGGAGGTGGTGGAGGCTGGTACAATTACAACATTTAAAAAGGAATCTGGATGGGTACATGAATAGGAAGGGTTGAGGGGGATACAGCCACATACTGGCAAATGGCACTAGATTAATTTAGGATATCTGGTCAGCATGGAACAGTTGGACCGAAGGGTCTGTTTCCATGCTGTATATTTCTATGATTCTGCCGATGCTGAAGAATCTGAGATAACAAGATGTAGAGCTGGATGAACACAGCAGGCCAAGCAGCATCAGAGGAGCAGGAAAGCTGACGTTTCGGGTCTAGACCCTTCTTCAGAAATACACTGTGCTAAACAGCTTTTGCGGCCTTCCACTACCGCATTTCATAGCCGAATACAAACTTCAGTCTGGTCCCTGCCTTTCCTAACCGACTGCCCTCACTGGGGAAGACCAGCCATTAAAGACCATTAGTTTTATAATGCAGTCTCTGGAGCAAGTCCTGGTATATTGTTAAGGGATCAACACTGACACAATCTCAGGCTGTGCAAGAAATGGTGCTGTCAAAGAGAGTTGCTTCAACTGATGCTAATCCCTCACATTTGTCAATACTGAGTTTCCCAAAGGGAATGGAATATTTCCCATCTCAAACTGACCAGCTACAAAGCCCAGTCACGGTAGCAGAGATCCCAACAAGTATAGTCAAAACATAAGTACGCTCCTGGATTGCAATTAGTGCCAGTTTCAAATGTGAACAAACTAGATGTGCCAATTCGTTAGGAGGGGCAGCAGAAAGGATCACTACAAGCTTATACCTTTGAAAGGAAGAGTGTTGAGATAGTAAATAAACAGGAATGGTCTCTGGTGGCTGAGGCCACAGACTTCAAATGGTTGGCAAATGAAGCAGAGGTGACATGTGAAAACAAGGTTTGAGTTTGAATTGAGCTATTGGCTAGGATGGCAAACTGCAAAGAGGAATTGGGAAAGAAACATTCAGGGTTACTGGGGGACAGAGCCAGGGAGAGGGACTAACCGAGACTGCCCTTCAAAAAAGCCAGTGCAGAACTGGTGCACTGCTATGCTGTGATAAATCAAAGCCAGATGGATTATACAGAACATAGAGGGGGTGGGAGGTGGTGAGGGGGGGGGGGGGGGGGGGGGAGTGAGAAACTGAAGTTGGGGTTTTGCTGGAGTGAGCCAGCCATTAACCAACAGTCTGCCCAGGAGCAAGTTTGGGAAAGAGGCTCCAGCCACGGCCAAATGGCACAGACTGCCCTCGCACCGACCCCCCTCCCCCACCCTCCCCCCCCCAAGGACAGCCAATCGTTTAGAAACACTGCGCAGAACCCAGACGTTCTGCCGACCTACGCCACGTCACCACAGAGAGTTAACGTCTAGAGCTGGTGTGAGCAGAACAGAAGCTGCAATCAGTTTCCTACCATGGATGTCACTGCCATTATTTTCATCGTGCACTGCTACAGGGAGGTGAAATGTACGGCTGGCAGCTGCATCAAAGCTCCCAAAGTGACTGTCTCCACGGAAGGGATCGGCTGACAGTGGGGGGAAAAAAAACAGACGCATGCTTTTGGTCGTTTGGTTTGGTTAGAGGCTTATCAGCAACGAGAGAGAGAGTGTGCACGCACAGACTTCCGCTGATCTGCACAACCACTGTCGCCCCACCTTGTCACAATTTCCACCCCCACCCATCTCCCCACAAAATAAAAAGCCAAGCTGCAATGCCGATGTCTGGGCTCCACGCAAGCCTCCTTCCATTTCAGATACTTCATCCGGTCATTCCACTATTGTGTTTATCCAGCTTCTCAGCCGTGCACCCCGCCTACACACCCACACCCACACAATTTCCCTTGACAGCTTCTCAGAGTTTGAGCGTGTTCCACATTCTCCCGGCACTGATTCGTTTGGCCCGCTTGTGACGACGGTCTCTGGTTTTGGACATCCCAGCCCACCCTCCAACAAGCAGTAACACCCTCTCTGTGGCTAGGCTCTTGAATCCTCCTGATCTTTAAAATAAAACCACGAGGGCATCCTCATTGTCCTGGACAGTCAGTCAGAGTCATACAGTATAGAAGCAGACCCTTCAGTCCAACTAGTCCATGACATCCATAATTCCAAACTAAACTAGTCCCATTTTCCAGCATTTGGCCTATGTCCCTCCAAACCTTTCCTGTTCATGTACCTGCACCCGCCCCTACCACATCATCTGGAAATCCATTCCACACATTAGCCACACTTTTAAAGCAAAGCAAAAGTTGCCCCTCATGTCCTTTTTAAATCTTTCTCCTCCCACATTAAAAATATGTCCCCAATTAAAATAAAAATATGACATCTCACCCCAACCCCTCAACCTTTTGTGTTCCAGTGACAGAAGTTCCAACCTATCCAGGCTCCTCTTATAACACAAACCCTCCATTCCCAGCAACATCCTGGGAAATCTTTTCTGATCCCTCTCCAGTTTAGCGATATCCCTCCCTTAGCAGGTTGACCAGAACTGTGCACAGTGCTCCAGAAGAAGCTTCACCAACGTCCAGGACAACTTCAACATGACGACTCAACTCCTATACTCAACGGTCTGAGCAATGAAGGCAAGCGGGCTAAACATCTCCTGAACCACCCTGTCTACCTGCGACACAAATCTGAAAGAATTGCGTATCTTAACCCCTAGGTCTGTCTGTTTTATAACATTACCCAAGCCCCTCACTTTTAACTATAGAAGTCCTGTCCTTTTCTATTTTTATGAAAATACAATGCCTCACATTTATCCAAATTAAACTCCATCTGTCACTCAGAGGAGGAAAATAAAAAAAAAAGTAACCCAACCAAATCAGTCCTCCTCCTCCTCCCTACTCCTGCCACATCACTATTGACAAATAATAAAACCTTGCGCACTCATCGGTCAACATCTCCTCTCCAGATATTGGATGAGACCAGACAGATCTCGTATCCCTAACCCTAACCAATCCTATTCCCTGCCTCCCCGGCTTTGAGAACATGGAAACCAGCATCCACTCTCTTCGCCCATGACCGCCAACCAAAAATACAGTGGGTGCTAAGGCATGGCAGTGTCATTAACCCCTCTGCGGCTAACTCAGGCTCAAACAGTTTTGAATCAGATTTTCTGGCCCAACACATTTCCTCCCTCTGGCCCCTACTGCTGAAAATATTGAGCACCGTCAGTTGAGGAGAAGCTCACCAACCACCCCACCCCCCTGCTCCCCACAACAGATGCCCAACCCGCGAAACTGTAAAGGGCGAGGATAGACTTTGCAACACTGGCCAGTTACCCAGCCATTCTCAGTGGTCTCAGATGGATGATATTCTGGACCCTCACCCTCAATTTGGCCCTAAGCAGGTGAACCTAATGCTTCTCCAACTGTGAGCAAGATTCCCTGAGGAGATAGAGACGTCAGTCAGGACTGAGTCTCCCCCTTGGTGCCTTGGGTTCAGGAATACGTTCGGGGTGTTTGGTTAAACAGCAGCTTCACTGCTGGCTGAGTCCCTACTTTTGGCTGCACAGTGCAATTATCAGGATGCCGGTGTTAGCCCTAGTGCTTTCAAAATGTGGTAGGCATGATTCCCAAACACACTTTCAAAATCTGTACAAAACTCCCCTTTCTCCTCTGCCAGCACTACCCGCTCCCATGCCCAAGGCTGGTGCAAATACCCAGTCAAAAATATTTCAGCGTTTTCCATATCTACTCACTTAGTAGAATTGTAGAATCCCTACAGTATGGAAGCAGACCACTCGGCCCACCGAGTCCACACTGACTGTCCAAAGAGTATTCCACCCAGACCTACCCCGTTACCCTATCCCTGTAACCCTGCAATTCCCATGGCCAATCCACCCTAACCTGCACATCCCTTGGCACTACGACAACTTAGCATGGCGAATCCACACTAACCTGCACATCCCTGGGCACTACAGGACATTTAGCACGGCCAATCCACCCTAACCTGCACATCCCTGGGCACTATGGGACAACTTAGCATGGCCAATCCACCCTAACCTGCATGTCTTTGGGCTGTGGGAGGAAAGTGGAGCACCTGGAGGAAACCCACACAGACACAGGGACTGCATGGAAACTCCACACAGACAGTCGCCCAAGGCTGGAATGGAACCCAGGCCCCTGGCGCTGTGAGGCAGCAGTGCAGACCACTCAGCCACCGTGCCACAATGATTTAAATGAAGTTCAAACCTCTAGCAGAACTGGGCCCTGGTCTTCATATTTCGGCACAATCACTCCAGCAGGTTAGCGTGATAACTGTGTTTCCTGGTTTGACATGAGAGGGGGTAGTAAATAAAGAGGAGGAAGGTCTTCCTTAAAGCGAAGCTACCTTCCCGAGAATTCCTTTCTCTTGAAGTCCATAGCTTTCCCACACGCCCAGCCATCTACCCCACAATCTTAAAGGTATGCACAAACAGCTTCCCCACGATGCCCACCACCCTGCCCCCACACCTCCTGATAATCAATTGACCCTTGCTCTTGGCAACTGAGCCAGGCCTGAGCAGCTTGGGATCAGACTGAAGGCTGTCTGCTGACCAAACGAGAACCTCCCTCCACGACAGCACGTACATTTCACCTATTAAGACAGTGGTGACCGCATCACACGTTTCACAAGACGGAGCAAACAAGCAGTCAGAAGAGATTGAATATTAGAACATGAATCTTGGCTGAAATTGGAGGGATGAAAATCTCAAGATTAACATTTCAAATTAGACACTCCATCTGAACAAGGCGAGGGGTCTGAATCATTTCCAGACATTGCCTTGCCCATCGTGTATTCCCAGTTAGTTTTTTTTTTGCTTTCGAGTTCCTGCATTTTTGTCTGCATTTACACTGCTTTGGTTGCATTATGCGGTTCTTGAACCTTTGAGCGAATCCCTAACCAACGCTCATGGCTGACGAGAGTCAGGCAGAGCCGCCGAAGACAGCCTCCTACCTGCGGTGGAGAACATGTTGTCAAACTCGATGATCAGGTCGTCCTCCCTGTCGAAGCGGACAAGCGACTCATCGATGTCGGGGTAGTCTTCATCCAGCTCCATTTCTGAACCCTCCTCATCCTCGTCGTCCTCATCCCCCTCCTCTTCCTCACCTTCCTCATCATCCTGTGTACACAATGGGTGAAACACTCAGGTCCACAAATAGACCATTGCCTTCCTTTACTCCCCAGACTGTTACTAATGTGGACATGGAGTAGATACCTGCTCCATCGTGGCTAAAGTCAAGTCAACCTCTCCTGGTCCCTGCCCCACAGACAAACCATGCCAGAAACGCGACAGAAACAGTAAAACTACTCGAACCATTTAGAAGGTGGTGTGGTGGAGCAGCAATAGGTGGAATGAAATTTTTGTTTAAAAATCTCATTACAGGATTTACTGCCCCTTGAGAAGTTGGGTAGAGCTGCTGCATTCCCCCTTGTGAAGTGGGAACACCCTGCACATTGCCCAGCAAGGAGGGAGTTCCAGGAATTTGATCCTGGCAAACTGAAGGAATGACCATCATTGTTCCCAGTCAGGATGGTGTGGATCTTAGGGGAGATTCATTTACTTAACAAATCAGAAAACTTACATTATTGAAATAGGTCTTTCAGCCCGACCGGTCTACAGTGATAGTGTAAGCCTCTTCTATTTCAGGATGATAAACATAGCCACTTTTTTTTGATTCATGTATGTATCGAGCCTTGCCACAAGGAGGTATCTATACAATTCACCTCAACTATAACACCTCAAGGGAGGCTTTTTGCAGGGCTCTGGGACAAATGCAGAAGTTGGGGAATGTTCGCATGTGCTGTTTTATGAAAAACAGAGGCTATCTTCATCCTGGTTTGACCTGACTGGCAAAGAGCTGAAGGACAAGGCTCCTCAAGCCAAAAACCTTGTGCTTCGAACGTCAGAAAGAGTCCATTCAAGAATGCCACCCACTGTGTTTCTTTTGGGGTTGAGTGGGGGGAAAAGAGGCATTACCTGGGAATAGGCCTTTGCTCCGCTCCTGGTACTTACTGGATGGGGTGGTGTTGGTTAGGGTCGGGGTGGAGACGATTAACCCAGACGCGAGATGCTTTCTCACCTGATCGTCTTCATCCTCCTCCTCTTCCTCATCCTCGTCTTGGCTGTCGTCGTCATCTTCATTGCTTCCACTGCTGTCTTCCTCTTGTGTGTGCTCTTCATCATCAGGGTCCAAGATGTTCATTGAATCTGTGAAAAGGGGAGCGGGGTGAACTGACAAATCAGACTTCTTACACAATGACAACGGGCTTCGCTGCAAGTTGAGTTGACAGGACCAAAATTTAACCAACTTGACTGAAGATAAACGATGCAGTGCTTAATCATTCACTCAAAACATTTTGCTTATGGTTTCGTACGTACATACATGCAGTCGCAATTTTACACATAGGCAGATCTGAAAGAGCAACAAGGTGAGTAATCAGTTGATCAGATATTCTGATTAAGGGACAGACCAGGGGAGGATTCCCAAATTCCCTGATGCCAGGACCCAGGGGAAGACTCCCAAACTTTTCTTCCAATCGCCCCATCGGATCGTCAACATTTGACCGAACAGTCAGACATGGCCTCGGATTAATTCTGTGTTTGAAAGGCAGCACCTCTGACGTTCCAGCCATCCTGTAGTGCTGCTCTGGAGTAGCCTAGAACAACTCCCCTCCTGTAGCTCCTTCTTCACTTCGGCAAGAACACAACACAAACCCAACCTGTGCCAGGGCAGCTGCTGCTACAGATGTCGAAGTGGGGCCAGATTCCTGATGTGCAATCGATTCCAAACTCTGCAGTGCACAAACAACATGAAGCAGGGAACGGAGGGTGCCAAAGGACGTACACAGCTGACCTCTCATATCACGGTCAGGACCGCATGTCTTAATAGCCGGTGATTTGCCGACAAAATAAATTGGTAGCAGCTCAGCTCCCTCTCCAAGGTGCAGTCATTCTGTTAAGAGATCACGATGCCAGTGTGGTCTAAGAGCACGCCTCCACAGCTCCATCCTTTCAGTAACTTGGGGCAAGTGCTGTACTCAGTAGTAAAGTCCTCGTGTCCCACAGGACTCCATGTTCAAATAATGAGGGACAGTCAGTCTCCTAACAACGCTGGCATAACCATCCACATGCAGATTAATGCTGCTGCCAAGGAAAGCAAGCTTCACAATCGTTCCTGGGCAGTGGTCTGCAGGGCTGGCATTCCTTACAATCCCTCCTTGCCCATCACAAGATGGTGGGGAGTAACCACAGCGTGCACAGTGAAGGTGTTCCTGCAGAACAGCTAAAGTTGGGAGTTGGAGGATTTTGAACATTGAGACAAAATGGGGAGATATTGAGTCAGTGTTCTGAGGGAGTCTCAACAGGGGTGAGCGGTTGGAATGAGATGGTACCCACATTTCCCTGTACCCTTGGACCTTGTGAAGCAGCTCTGGAAGGTACTGACAAGGGAGCAGCCAAAGTTAACAGTCTGACTGAACTGTGCGTGAAGGAATGCTTAAGACCTAATGGAATGGGCAAACTACAATAAAAACCAAAAGAACTGCGGATGCTGCAAATCAGAAACAAAAGCAGAAGTTGCTGGAAAAGCTCAGCAGGTCTGGCAGCATCTGTGAAGGAGAAAACAGAGTTAATGCTTCGGGTCTGGTGACCTTCCACAGAACTGATGGTGGCTGGGAAAACATCAGTTTATATGCCAAACTACAATGCTGGATACATTTAATTAAGAGTCAACTGGGCTCAAACTGGTTGTATCAACACGGAGCTGGGTAAACAGAATGGTGCGAGTGTTTTTGTGCGGTGTGGCTAACTGAAATAAGGCCCTCACATCAAAGTGTAGACTTGAATTCTGGTTGAAGTTTTCTTTGGAGCAGAGTATTGGGCTGTTGAACACACCACGGATTCAAAGTAGCAACTGCAAGACTTAGGACAGGTAGAAACAGTCACTATGGTGAAGGGACACGTGGGTTCCACAGCATGGCACAGTGACAAAACCAAACAGCAAGTCACTGACAGCTACAGACAACATGCAGAATCAGAAGCTGACTCCATCGCCCCTTCACGATCACAGTCTCTGATGGCTGACGACGTCACTGTCCTACTTGACCTGGCCTTGAGCTCGCAGCTGACCTCAAAACTGCCCCACTGCACGGAACGCCGACCCATATCTGCAGCAACACCTTGGATTAGTGAACTCTGCTCATCTGCTGCCGAAATCCTCCAGACCACAACTGGTCCAATTCTGCCTTGGCTGAGCACTGACCTTCCATGGACTTCAGCTCATCTGAAACTCGGTTGCCCCGGAGCTGCACACTCGCGCCAAAGTCACCCACCAGCTGACCTGCACTGGGACATGAACGGGCTGGGAGAGAACTGAAAATTTTCAATGTGGTACCAACTGACCCCAGTTCCTCCCCTCCACCTACCCCATTACTACAGTAACACGACTGCCACAAGAACAGCACTCAGTTACTGCAGTAAGGAGTGGTACCGTTTCACCATTTCTCAGCTAACAAGGAAGCTTGTGCCATCCGCCCACCATTTACTTTTGCCAGTCACTTTGTTAAGGTCAGGCAAACTCAACAGTTTTACGTTGCAGTGTGTCTGGTTCCACAACGCCAGTGCCGATTCCATCAGGATTTGGGTCTGTATCCAACAGCTGCCCTCACGTATCTGAGCAGGCCCACTCAGGCAAGTTTGGAATTTTGCTCCGTCCAAGGGCGAGGGCTTCAGAATTAATTCTTTCATTTCAGCACAGCCTTGGACCTTATCCTACCACTGCATACAGGAGAGGGGTAACCAGTACATCCTAAACTTCCTCTCTCCTTCCCCACTGGCCTGATTCTGGGTGACCTTATTTTTTATAATCTATGAGAGAGCAACAAGGTTGGGGTGGGGTGGGAGTTGGTGTCAAGGCAAAATAGCTCACATTTCTGCTCCTAGGCCTCTACTGATCCATTTCTCACTGCGTGGCTGACTACTAAGTGGCAAATGAAGGGAGATGAGAGGTGAAAGATGGAGGTACTGTGGTGGTGGTAGTGGAGGGGTTGGGGGGGGATGTGTGGAGGAATGCAACTACTACTGCGGAGAGATGGATGAGTGCTGGGAGGGAGAGGAGAGGAGAGGAAGCGATCAGGGACAGGGAAGGAGGGAAGGAAATTGATGAGAGTGGAGAGGTGGATGGAAAGGGAATGATCAAAGACGAGTCCTTTACTGTCCCAAAGCTTTGTGCAGTGCCCATCACTCATGCTGCAAACACAAAGCTTTTTTTTTTCAGATAAAGAAAATGCTTTCTCTCTTAGTGAACGGATGACGATGCAGGGTTTGGTAGTTTAAGGGCTCTCCTCCTGCATAGCAGCAAAGACAGTTTTTTTTTGTTGTACCTTCTCGGTTAGCCTGCAGGGTGGGCGCCTGACTGAGATTTGAGGGAGCCTCATCCATCAACACATCCTCCTGGGACTCATCCTCAGTACTTCTGCAAGCTGTAGCGCCAGAGGAAGGAAATAAAATACAAAGAAAAAGTGAATGCAAGCCCACGACAGTGCATTCTACATTTTCCGCAACACACCACAGTTTTGGTACTCTACGTTTGGAACTTTCCTATGCACATTATTTGCATTTAGCAATTTTATTCATTGTGGCCTTTTCTGGTGTGCGGGTATTGATTGGGATGATTGTT